AGACATCAGAGACCCCTGGAGCCAGTTCTTCATGCAGCGTGTGCCACACAGGACTGTTTAGCTGCTGTCCAGCAACTCTAGAGGCCACAGGACCCTGTCCCTGAATGCTCCAGGCAGCCCCCTCAAGGCAGTCTGGGGAAAGCGCCCCGGCTTTCCCTCAGCCCTGCTTCCCCTTCTGGCTTCCCTATTTCTGAAAGCAGCATCACCAGTCTCCCTGGCCTCCCGGGCTAGAAATCTCAAAGTTATCTCGACACTTCCTGCTCCTTCGTCTGCTATACCCAATCTGTCGGCACGTTCTGCTGTTCCTTGGAAATGTCATTCAAGTGCACCCCCGCTTAGCCCTCAACCCCTCTTTTGGCACAACACTCCTCTGCCCAAGAATCTTCAGCGACTCCCCACAGCCTGCTGCCTTTGCCTGAGCCTTTTCTCTCTGGAGTTCAGTCAGTTCTACCTACCCTCCTCTATGTCTTGAACATGCCCTCTACAGCAGACAGGACTCTGTACCTGCCCCGTCCATTCTGCCCACTCGCTCCATCCTCTCCCCTCTTGTTGCCTGTGCAGCCCCTGTTCACCCCCCTCTCTGTGAAGGCCTCCCCTGTGGGCTCCATCCAGGTTGGAATGCCTGCTTCTCACATCCACGGTGCCTGTGAACACAGGCATGAGGTTCCACCTGAGCAGGGTCCAGCATACTCTCCACCCAAATAATTCACCTGCAGAGGAAAGAACAGGGCCTGCCCCACACTAACTACCTACTAACCCCCTAGCCCAAGCTGCACTGCACGTAAATCTGAGTGTCTCTGGGATCTGGAGCTCCCACTAGACTGTGACTTGGGACAGGGTGTATTGACACTGCGGGGCCCCAGGGACTACCTGTTCTCTGTGAAGGTGGAGATTGGCACATCTAATTCACAAGGCAACTGGGGTGATTGAGCAAAACAAGCAGAATATGTAGTCAATATGATGTTCAATTGATTCCTGTCTTCCTTCTCATAATCTACCCAGCCTGGTGCTGTGGTATGAGATTTTTTTTTCATACTGAATTTGCTAAATGTAAGACATACCCTGTTTTATGTAACAAAAAAGTATACTCAAATAACAACTGTTTCTTATGTCCCCACTATTCATGGGGCCAGTTTACAGGTCATGAAGGACAGTGCCTGTCCTGCTAGGATCAAAGGCCTTGCTCCTCAAGGGATTTGCTGTCCGAGTCAGGAGACAGACAGGGCAGAGAGTTATGAATTCTGGGCAGGATTAGGGAACTAGCCAGGCTCAAGGAGAGGGAGAGTAGGTTGGGCACCCAGGGGACATGCCCCAGCAGCCCTTTGCCTGTGTCCACTCACATTCCCGCCACTCACGTTCCATGCTGCCAGCCCTCTGATGCAGATTATCCTCATTTTATAGGTGAGGAAAGTGAGGTTCGGAGAGGTTAAGTCTCTTGTCCAAGGTCATGCAGAGAGGGTTGAGAGGACAGATACCTGGATGGGCCTGACACTGAGCAGCCGGAGCTGCTGTCCCTTCCATGCCATAATTGCCTCGGGCTGCACTCTGAAGGCAGCGCAAGATGTGGATGGGCAGGGGCTGGAACTCAGTGGCAGAGCACCTGCTTAGTGTGCGTGAAGTCCCGGGTTTTATCCCTGGCAATGAACAAAAAGCAAGGACAGGGGCATAGTGAGAGCATACGGATGGTGCCTGAGCACACAGGTGAGCAGAAGGTCATGCCAGATGACACACATGGCCTGAGGCTACACCACATGCATATGGCCTTCAACTTCAAGCAAAGGCATCTGAACTATACTCAGGAGCCCACTGCCACTGAGGGGTCCTGAGACAGGGTCACCTGTAAGACACAGTGTGTCCCACATGAAGGAAGAAAGCCCTGAGCTATCATTGGGATGGACTGAAGCATGGGAGAGGGAGAGGTGGCCTATCTGAGGACTGAGAAGCTGAGACCTTACAAAGTGACAAGGATTCCCCCATGAGCACAGGACTGTGAGTCCAGAGACCTCCCACATGACTATGGAGCCTTGGATCAGTTATTCAACTTCTCTGAGCCTCAGTTTCTGTGGGTCACTGATACCTCCTTACTGGCTGTTGGTACAGACCAAATGCTATAGGGCCATGGTAGGGATCAAAGTCATTCTGCTGAAAGGCATCTGGAAAGCTGCAGAACTCTGTACACATATAAGGGATGAATACTTTGCAGCAGGGACAAGAGCTGTGTTCTTCCCACATGCGCACTACGGCTGCCCACTCTCACCAGCCACATAGCTACCGGTGTCCCACTCACCACTCTTGCTTTCTGAGCTGGTTTTCCATGTCACGCGGAGCCTGTCTCCCCCCTACCCCCCGTCCCATCTCTTCAGGGTTGAGACCCAGCTCAGGGGAGTTGAGCTCCTGTCTCCAGGGCCCCCTGTCTTCCAGCAGCACTGCCCACCTTCCTAGAGAAGGGTTCACTTTCCTCCCTTTACAAAAATGTCCCCTCCCCATCCTAAGGGAAACCAAACTGGAAAGTGAAATTATGAAGAAGCCCCAGTCTCTTGGAACTTTCCAGTGCTGGAAAAACAGCAATGATCAAGATGCAAAGGGAAGGAGGAAGGTAATAACTTGGAAACCTATGATCTCCTCCCAACTCCATTAGCACCTGTCCCTTCCCCACTAGGGACCAGCCCTGCTTCTGGGGCTCAGGTGACAGGTCCAGAAGAGGAGAGAGGTGAGCTGGTAAGACAGGCAGGAAGCTGGTGGGCAAGCCCAGGCCACATGAAATGAACAAAATATGGAAAATTAAACAAACCCAGCCACTGTAATGTGTGCATATTAGATTAACTTCTCCAAAGGGTCATGACCTTGAGGAACACATCCAGCCGGTGAGGAAAATAATAAACCTGATTAATGATGAAGCATGAGCTGCGGCTTCAGCAAATAAAGCAAGCCCATAGATGCCCAGTGGAATTCCAGGAGCTTCCTTCCCTGGCAGGACGGATCACAGCTGACTCTCCAACCCCTTGCCCACCACCAAGCACAGACACTCAGGGACTAATGTAAGATAGGATTTTGCTCTCACATGCCCACTGCCAACCCCAATGTCCCCATCCCAGTGGATGCCACATCAGCTGTATCCAGGTGCTCTTAGAAGTGTCACTACCACCAAGTGACCCACAGGGAGTGCACGTGATTGTAGTTCTCTTCATCCCTGGCAGGGCTCAGACCTCTTGGTCTGGTCTTGAGAGATGCCCACTGCAGGGCAGAGAGGCCCAGCCTTGCCAGAGCTCCTCTCCTCTTTCCAGACAACCCAGGCCCCTGGGAGACATGCCCAGGAGAGCCACTGGAGGGAGGCAGGGAGGTGGCACCGCGTGGCATCACCAGACAACAGCACCAGGAGGAAGATGGCAGCATCAAGTACAGATGCCAAGAGCCAAGCAGCCCAAGGTCCAGGCGGGGAGCGGCTCAGCCCGCATTGCCCCACCACTGCCAGGCAGCCGGGCAAAAGGGACCTGTCCCAGCCCCTTCAGCGATCAACCTCAACCCAAGGCCCTCAGCCAACTCTCCCCAGGCTCCACCTCCTCCCTCACTTTCCTCAGCTCCAGGGAGCCAGGCGCGAGGCACAGGTGCTCACAGCGCCTTGAACCCCCTGTCCCAGCAGTTGCCTGCACGCCCTCCACCCAGCCAGGTCTGAGCCGCTCCTGCTCTGCCAGTCCCCACGGGAGAGCATCTCCATGGGCTCCCCTCCCCCTCCACCCAGCCCCCTCCCCCTCCCGCGCCTAATGCAGGTCTCTAGAGTTTCTCCCTCACTTCCCCACTCGGTGAACTAGGGTGGGATGTCTGGGAACCCCATTAGTCGCGGGAAGGAGGGTCATTTCTGATAGGACGCTGGTTCTGCCAAAGCAAGACGACCCGTGGGGTGGGGGGTGTGGTGGTGGCCGGAGTCCAGGGCAGGGGCAAGGGGCAGTCGAGGCAGATGGCAGCATGGGAAGGGGAGAGGGCTTCGGGTGCAAGGCTGCGCTTGAAGGAGGACCGTAGCTGGGGAAGAGCAGCGCGGGGAGAAGCGGAGGGTGACGAGATGGGGGAGAAGCGCCAGTGTCGGGAAGGGGCCGTCATCCCTGCAGGGGGCAGAGGCAGGGCTGGGAGTTGTACCGGGAAGGGGGAGGACCACAGCGGGAGGACGGCGAGCCAGGGAGGGGATGCAGAGGAGGGAGACAGACGGTGATGGAGACTGGAGGAACTACGGGAGCACAGCGGCGGGGGCTCGGTGGCGAATTGGGGGA